GTGTTTCGTGTGCATTGTATTTATTTTTCCAAAAAGTAAATTTTTTGTTTATATAACATGGTTTGCCAGAAGTTTAAAATTCTGAACATGGAAGGTTTCATTTCTGATGCTATATTTTAAACCCAGTTGCAAAAGCATCATGTTCCAGTAACCCATTGTAAAAATCCAAATATACCAAATCTGAAAAAGGCTGATCATTGGAAGATTCAGAATCCATCATTTTATCCTTCGATGTGGACCCCTGGCTCTTTCTGACAAGGAAGGTTCAGGAGCAATAGATGTTAGACAGAACCTAGACCCTGCAAATTAGTTTTTCGGTCGGATAAACTGGTGCTTTTTCCAGTTAAAATGTCATGCACATTTTAGTGAATTACTTCAATAAACCCCTTTTAGTTAACACAAAAATCTCTGCACTTTAAGTACACATGTTGAAAAAGCCAAAAGGTTGATTTACTAAACGCAGACAGGCTGTTCACTTCGCAAGAGTATTTACACTTTGCAGATGAATCTTCACTTAGCTTGGTGAATGTGCTAAAATCTCCCTTTGCAAAGAATACCCAATCAGGTGCAAGGAAAAAAAAACAGTATATGTGCTTACACATGGTTGGATGATGGATTTCAGCAGAGCTTCCCCTTATTCACTAAGTTATGGCAAAACTAACCCCAACAAACTGCAAATTCCCTTTCATCTTATTTGCCTTTAGTTAATCAACCCCCCCCTGCATCTTAAGCTTAGGCTGATATTTATGATAGGGACCATTCTGTTATTCTAAATGCTTTCCTGTCAAAGCTTTATTCTAATGGGCTGCAGTCACCATAGAATGACACCTACATGCTACTTTCCCCATTATAATAAAATTATTTCCCACATTCATGTGACAGGTAGAAAATATGGACATGAACACCCTTGTTTGGTATTCTAATTTTAAATTCAAGAAAAGGGCTAAAAGATCAAATCTGATCGCAGGATGGTTTCTTAAATCCACTCACCCAACTAACATACTATATTGTGGAGCAAAATAATGAATTAATGTTGCATAGTGCTTTGCTACAGATTTTATATACATACATAGATATATACATAGATATATAGACACACACACATATTAGATAGATAGATAGATAGATAGATAGATAGATAGATAGATAGATAGATAGGATAGATAGATAGATAAAGTTTTCTTTTTTTCTGGGATTTTTTGGTTCAGGTTTTAGGGTTTTTAGACCTCAGATAGCAACTTAAAAAATGCAGAGATAGTAATCAGTGTTAAAAAGTACCCAAGTTGCTTTTTTGATCTTTTTTTCTACTTTTTAAACAAATTCAACCAGATACTCAAAAATGTGAAAACCATTGACAAAAAATGGGAGGTATTTTTGTAACTTTTTAAAAATTACATCATTTGTGATTATGGTCATACATTATATGATGAAAAAGGAAAAAAAAAAACAGAAAAATGTATAAAAATGTACATAAAAGTTTTTTGGGACTTCAGCAGGTGTTTGCTCTTTTTGGTGTATTGTGTTATTCTTTGTAGACTTCTGTGTGTATATATATATATATATATATACACACACACACATATACAGTATATACAGTATACATATATATATAGATATATACAGTGTGGAATATCAATGCACATAATAAAATTGGCAATTCACATACCACATTTAGTTGTAAACTAACTACACAGATCACAAGTTTTATATACTGAGATTGGCTGCTTCTTCTACACTGTTGCGCTCTTCAAACGATCACCGGGTTGTAGCAGTCTACTGTACAATTATTTGTCTCTGGATATATTTTAGTGACTAACAATAAAATAAACAAGAAGCACATGTGCACAGATAGCACTGTGTGGCACTTTCCACCTCCGGTATTGCTTATCATATACATTGCAGATGACCTATGACACTGAACATTCTGGAAGCACAGTGCCTATGCCAGTCATATGAAGGAATGACACAATGTCAACAGATAGCACTATAAAAATGTTGGCTTGGGCATTCTCCTTTGTCTTTACATATAGGAAAATCAAGCCACTACAGAGATTAATGAGTAGCGGAAACAGGTTAGGCGCTAGGGCCAAACTGCCCGGAATATTCATTAATACCCCCTAAAGCAAGATAATTATGACACAAACTGGGCTCAGTGGTTTATTTCATTTCAGACTCCAAAAGAATATTGTTGTCTCCGGGCCTATTATCAGGAAATAGCTTTAATAAATACATAAATCCAGCTCTCATGTTTAGAAGTTGCATCAAATAGTATTCAAAAGTACAAATGCAAGTAAGTAGAGAAAAAGTAAAAAGTAAAAAAAAAAATAAGATTTGTCAATTAAAAAAAAATCTCTGGGGTTGAATTTAAATTATGGAGATAAAGATCCTGCTAAATATCTGGTAACTAGTTATAAATACTTCAATCAATCAATATGTATGCTAAGAACTAACTCCCATTGTTGTATAGTAAGCGTTTGAAGTTGGAGACAAGCCTACAAAGAACAAGGAGATGCTTCTCACTTTGTTTCACATTATGTTACAAGACATTATAAAGCTTACATAAAATGTGGTTTAAACTTCAAACATGACAAAGAGTTGGGTGCTTAAAACAGAGGGCAGGCACTATGACTATCTAACAGTATAATATAAACCCATCTGAGATGGTGTCATGTTTCCTTCTAACACTATACATCTCTGGCCATATAACAAGTGCTAAAAAATAGGGAGAGATTATACACATCAATCCAAATCTTGCCATAACTTTTTAACTTTAACGTTTTAATTGATTTGTGTGGACTACTGTTCCAGATTTCTTTTGTCCTGAATTTAATAACTACTATTACTCTGTTATGCTGTAGTTAATTTTTGCCAGGAAGCGGTATGAGTTCACTTCGCAAGAGTATTTACACTTTGCAGATGAATCTTCACTTAGCTTGGTGAATGTGCTAAAATCTCCCTTTGCAAAGAATACCCAATCAGGTGCAAGGAAAAAAAAAACAGTATATGTGCTTACACATGGTTGGATGATGGATTTCAGCAGAGCTTCCCCTTATTCACTAAGTTATGGCAAAACTAACCCCAACAAACTGCAAATTCCCTTTCATCTTATTTGCCTTTAGTTAATCAACCCCCCCTGCATCTTAAGCTTAGGCTGATATTTATGATAGGGACCATTCTGTTATTCTAAATGCTTTCCTGTCAAAGCTTTATTCTAATGGGCTGCAGTCACCATAGAATGACACCTACATGCTACTTTCCCCATTATAATAAAATTATTTCCCACATTCATGTGACAGGTAGAAAATATGGACATGAACACCCTTGTTTGGTATTCTAATTTAATAACTACTATTACTCTGTTATGCTGTAGTTAATTTTTGCCAGGAAGCGGTATGAGTTTGTATATGGAAGTCTAGGTTTTCTCAGCTCTCACCTTATCTCAGCTTGCATTCTAATCCTGCACTATTCAAAGTTAAGCTAAATATTTCTTGAAAGATGTAATATAACCAAAATAATTGACAATCTAACACATCTATTCTTTTGCATGAAACTATAAAGTTGCTTAAGGACCAGATTTACATTAAAACAAAATTAATCACCACAAAATTGCAAGCTGTTCACTTAATCGGTATCTGGGTCTTTACAACTGGCCTAATTTAATGATTCAATTTTGTGCCATCGGGGTCATGGAGAAACACTCCATCAATGTCACCAACAGACCAGAAGGAAGTGGACCAGTTCCATTTTTAATGATTACTTAATTAGTCTAAGTGGCTTAGTAGCAAGATTTTCCTTAAAGCAAAGAAACCTAGTTTATACAAGTTATAAGTAGAAGATGTACACACAATTCATGCAGTGCCTGAAACAATGCAAATTAAACAAAGCATAGTGTGTCTAAATTACAAATTATATGACATATTATACACAATTATAATCAGAGAAAGGATGCTGGTATATAATCTGTGGAAGAGAAAGGCAATGTATAAACTGCAATAACCCATTGTGACCTATCTGAATTCATCTTTCAATGACCTGACCTCAATATAATAAAACAATGAATTGCAGTAGGTTATTACATATTTTGAATACCGTTACATCTGTTTACACTCCTTTACTGAACTAGCCATTCAGAATTTAGAAGTCTACAATAACTGTTTGACAATCTGTAAACTGAGAATTACATTAATGTGCACTTATTTTGAGCACCACTCACAAATGTCGGTGGTGTCAATGAATCCTTCTAGGATGACAACTGCAAGAAGTCAGTCTTGAACTAATGAACCCAAATATGTTGCATATTATAGTGCAATGCTGAAGTGGAAATGAAGAAACATCATTATTAAATTTAAAAAAAAGAAAGATGGTAATGAGCTGTTATCAAGTGTTTTGATAGCTAAGCTGATATGCCTTTAAGTTTACCTTTACATAGAGCTGGAAATCATCAACCACATGCCCGTATACTGACTGGCTGCTAACAGATGTTCTGGTTGGAATTGTACATTCCTTACATACAACACTGGTTCACTGTATACAGATAAAGAAGATTTTGATAGTGTTTGGTACAGAATTGGAGCACTATATAAAGTTGGTATATATTTAGAATTGCTCTGTTTGGTCTAACTCAGGCACAGATTGGGTAGGCTTTTTAATACAAATTTCCATACGTGCATATGGTCAAATCTTTAGGATGCCAATGTTAAGAACACACATTTACTTGGGGGATTAAGTCTAAAAAAACTCAACCTGTTAGCTAATCAATCAAAATGTTCTTATTGTTTTAATACCCAGTTATGTTGATAAACATGTAACAAAACACATACAGTACATTTTGATTCAGATCAGTGAACCTGTGTTAGGGCAAGATCAGATGAAACTATTCATACAATGCTCTGCCTATATATCTGCTGACCCAGGTTCAGAGGAACCAATCAGCTTATCAGAAGAGGTGAGCAATGGCAGCCAAAATGCACCTCTTAGCCTAGTTTTCCTGTAAAGTGAACCTGTGGTCTCACCTTACCTTGTAAGGTTGTTTCAGGTCCATATAGTAGACATCTCCATATCCCTGCTTGCTTCATATTCAGATATCCAAGGTATCCCTAACACCCAGATGTTCTATTATGCAAATATTAATTACAACAAGAATGGTCAATATTTTTTCTAACTTTTTCTGTCCCTGAGCCTACCTATTGACAGCCAAATGTGGTTAATATGAATTAGCATGGTGGAAGGATCTGTTAGGTTATTTCCATCCTAATGTTTGTTTTGAACTATGCGCATAAATAATGGTCCAATGGTCTGCAGAACCACAGATTTATTCATTCAATGTAATAATCCTGAATATATTTACCTTTATTAAGACAAATGATATCAATATTCACTGACTTACTTAACTGACTGCCAGGCACGTGTTGGAATGTTCTTATGGATATAATATAACCTGAGGCATGGCAAGAAAAGAAAACCATTCATATATATGCTGCCCCAGGAAAAATACTATTTCTGTAAAATAAATGGTTCTATTTAACTTTGAAAAAAACTCAGGCTAGCAGGAATGCTGAAGATTGCTGACTCACAACGTGGAAGAGCACAGACTGCCTACTAACAAGCTTACACACCTGGCCTTACATTTCTGCTTCTAGCACTATGCTAAATGAAGAATTAAATGTTTTCTTAAGACACAAATCTTTAGGAAGTAATAAGAAAATCAAACACAAGTATGTTATGCAAAACCTATCACAATGAACAAAAAGAATGACTGCCAGATGACCCCGCTCGGAGCGCCGCCCACCGGAGCAGCAGTGACGCGACACTCGGCGAGGTAAGTAAGAAGAAACCTGACCAGTGTACTCACTTTCCTCAGTTCTCGAGACGCTGACTCGAGTATAGGCCGAGGGGGGCATTTTTCAGCACAAAAAATGTGCTGAAAAACTTGGCTTATACTCGAGTATATACGGTATATAGTAAGACAGTTAAAATAGCAATAATAATGAGGACTTTACAGTACCCCTTCGAACAATCAGACCATATTTCATAAAAGTCAGATGATCACTAAAAACATTCTACAAGCCATTGTGTTTTTGCCCAATAAATAAGGCATAAATTATCTTTAATATTTGTGCAGCCACCATGTAAATGTACTAAAGTAGTAGGAAGATCCCAGTCTGCGACCTTCATCAAAATAATAACACATTTAATGTTCCTGACTTATTAGGAATTCTGCTTCTGTACCACATTATGTCAAATGTATGTCTTCCTTATCTACTCAAAATGTGTAAATAAACCTGTGGGCACTTCTAACATTCAATTATGTGCAGGGAAATTTTAAAACAATTTGAAAAAGAAAAAACAGATTGGATGTTTGAAGTGCACACACATTCTACTTTAGTAAATGACCAGTTTGACTTGTGGACAAGAATTGACTAACATTCAATGAATTGTCTCTTTTTTCACTGCACTTCACTGTGTAGAGAATCATGCAGTTTGTATCTTGTTGCACCAAAGTAAGCACTCACAACTAAAATCTAGAAGTGGTAAATTTTTAAAGGTTGTGGAAAAGGTATACAGAGGAGTAAAACATGCAATAGGATCAATAATTTTAATTTTTTTACCTTTCAAAAAGAGCTAAAAAATCTACACATTTTGTTTTCTGAACAATGCATGGTGCTAACTTCTCAAACATATACCTTAGATCATGGGTGTCAAACTCAATTTAATCATGGGCCACATCGACATTATGGTTGCCCTCAAAGGTATCTGTAAGACTATATAATGTATCTAATCTTTATCATAATTGCCTCTGCATTCGATTATCACTGGTTTTAGTAATAACTTAATACCTAGATCTGAAAGTAGAAGTCTAGGAAATGGCCTGGTGGGCCAGATTCGACCCCTGGGCCTTGAGTTTGACACATGTGCCTTAGATCATGCTTGACAGCAATACTAGCCAAGAAATTCACATGAAAGGAAATGATGTGCCATCACCCAGAGTGACTTTGCTTAAAGGATGAATGAAATTGACTGTTGCACGATCCATTAGGCAACTGGCAGGGAGCCAACCTGCTAGTAAATATCTCCACACGTTAGATACTGAGGATGACTGCAGGAGCTAACTATGTTCTAAATAATATGTAGGATCAAATATCATGCTAGCATACAAAACACAATACAAATAAGCAACAGGTCACAGGATTCAGCTACAGGGGTAATTCATCTAGGAACTTTTAAGAGTAGAACAATATATGATATACCCTTTCCATGCATAACAAGATATTGCCCACAATATACACATACACCAAATCAATGAGCATACAGAGCTGCCCATCTGTCCCTGTATACATGTAACTGCTCATATGTGCATACAGCCAAAGCATCTGTCAGCCTGTCATTGATTTGTTCAGGTTGCTTGTGTAAAAAGGTTTCCTGAGCACAGAAATACACTTCTTGACAGTGCATGGTCGTATGAATGAGGCCTAATGTCTCACAGCTTAACTCAGCAAACTTACAGAAAGCAGCAACACACAGTTAAAGCTGAACTCTTGGTAGATATACTGTATAAGACACAAATGAATGCAGCTCTGTAATAAGTACCGTAGTACATCATTAAAGGTCTGAGCTCAGAGGAAGTGGATTGAATGATGCTGGCCATCATACTGTGGACATTTGGGGCAGTAAAGAAGTATTGTGGGGAGTGTCTTGGATTGAAATTGAAAATTGCAACAAAAGCTACTTTTCAATTTTACAATTTAATTGGCTATTTCTTTTTATCTTGTTACTTTGGCCTGGAGTTCTGCTTTAAAACACAACTACTTATTTTATGTTAAAATGATCTGTGCCCTCACTGGAGAGCACGGTCACTGGGGGAGGAGGTAAGTACAAATATCCCTCAATGTGACACAAACAGCAATACCAACACGACCAAGGCTTTCATTGAACCCTATAATAAATGAGGAAAAGAATACTGGATAGAGTTCCACTTTAATCACGCAACCAGTTATCTACTGCTCATCTGGAATTCTTCAGCACAAGGCAGATGGAGAACAAGCAGATATATTTATCCTAAGAAATAGGAAACATTGTGTACTTTAAATTGCACTTAGGCTGCCATAAAAAGACACTATCAGTGCACAGGAATGTCAGAGAAATGCAGACATTAAAAATAATATAGTAGACTGTGATCTTATCAAGTTTATGCTTACAAAAAATGTTTACTTAATGACTAAAAACTGAAAATACCAGACTTCTGTGCTTGTGTGAAAGATTTTTTTAATATGTGTCAATCCCTCATTAGGATGTAAGATCCTATCTATCTGACTAGACATCTGCTACGAGAGTCAACATTTTGCAGGACTGACCTACAATTTTTTTTAAAAACCACACAAACCCCACACCAAATTGTTAATAACTAGTAAACAAGTAATAAATAAATAATAATAAAAAAAGACGTAGGAGATATAGCCTCAAATGTTTATTTTCTCTATTGGAATAGCAAATCCAAACTGGATATTACAGTAAACAACAGGCATTTTTGAAAGCGGAACCCCAGGATAAGAAAATATTGTCAAAATACAAGAGTTATGTGTATTCTTACTTGAAACTTAGTGTTCTTTGTATATTTCTTCCAGATCTGTACCGTAATCCAATGTACAACTTTGCCTTTGTGCAGGAACTTCCTGTAATTAACTTCCTGCTGCTCGCTCTTTGTGCAGGGTGACTGGTCTTGAATCCGCCCCCTGCTGAAGTTTCCTCATGCAGCCTGTAGTCACTGGACCTGATGGATCCCTCCCACAGGCTATGTGCAACACAGTGATGATGTCACCGCTACTTAGCAAGGCAAGAAGTGGGTTTGCAAAGGCATCTGGTCACACAAAGTTTATACCATGTGTGGCTATTGAGGAATACATTTAAATGAAAAGTTTTTTTTTGTCCAGAGTTCAGGTGCTGAAACTAACTACACATAGTTCTGTATACAGTTTATGAGCTTTGCTTTTATAAAAGGGCACAAAGACATTTCTAAATGATCACTAATCAACACTGCTCTAATCAATTCCCATGGAGAGAAGTGTGGGGTATGCCGCTTTTATCAGCGGGACTGATAAAAGATATGACTGAATGCGTCTTAATCACTGTGAATACACAGCCTTGAGCATGCTACCGCCACTCCACTTTTGGCTATCAGTGTATTCTGGAAGGGAAAAGCTAGAGAATATATAAGCTATGTAGTGGAAGGTCAAAGAATAGATGTATGGGTGTATATGCTGTAATTATATTTTATACTGTGTTGATATCACACCAAAAATCATAGCAAGATATAAAATGTAGAGCTTTGGAGCATTTTCTACTAATTAGACATACTAAGGAAATGGGGTAATGATGTTCTTAGGTGGAGGACTGGAGAGTTTTCTTCTGTTTTCATAATTCTGGGGAACAATGATTTTGTTTCTAGCTCACAGCCATACAAAAAAACAATTACAAACAATTCTAAGGAGGTATGGGAAATATGATAAATGATCATATTTGTCTCTACCCATTTTTTTTATAGCTATGGTATGTTCAAGTAGCCTGAAATCCAGATCCATTGTTATAAATGTTACAACGGACTTGCTTTTGCATTTAGTTATTTTGCTAAAGAAATTTTTTTTTTGTTTATGTCAACCATCTGGTTATTTCCAGAATAACTGAATAACTTCCTATTTTTAAATGTGATTGGAAATATCTGGGTTTTTAAAGTGATCAGTTTTAATAGGCTCTTTGAAAATGCTATTGTTTTGGTAATTCATACCTTAAATATACTGTTTATTTTTATTTCCACTAAAGGCAATAATTGCGTCCATTAACTAAACAGTTAAGAAAACTAAAAGCATCTCTAATCCTGATTAGGAAGGAACACAGAGAAACAGTGGTCTTTCAGGACTGACCAGACGCAGAGTAAGATGACCTGCCAAAGGCCATAATAAAGTAACTGGACTATACTAAACATATCCCATAATTAGATAAATGTGAATAAAAGGCTTAG